CAGTGCAAAAGATCATCTGTTTTAACTGCAGTTTCATATAGCAAAGACGCTTTAACATGTGAAAATTACTTCCCATCTTATCTGATAAAACGCGAAAGATCTAATTTATCTTCGGCTTCGTTTAGCAAAGACTCCCTAACATACGATAATGATTTTCCACCTTTACCACAGAATGAAAGGGAAAATGCAGAAGGGAATGTGCATATGTACTGATGTTCATTCCAAAGATGAGTACTTATTAAGTATTATAATAATTTTAAGAATATTAAGAAACGTTGAGAAAAATTTTAACTATCTTAGACGTTAGTCTTTCTGATTAATTTGAAAATTATAATCCTTTAATTATTTAGCTGCATTCTTGACCTTTTCTTTGACTAAATCAGTATAGTTCAGAGTTATTTCTCTCTTTTTTTTTGTAACTATATCACACAGATATGTTAATCAGGGTTGTTCCAAACATGTTGTTTTCATGAAATCTAGTAAAGGTTAAACTGCTAAAATTTATTTTCATGTTTCTGATTCTTTTCTTCTCTTTATACTCTTATTTTAAAATTATTTAAGAGTACTGTATTGATATCTGACATAATTTTGGTATGATTGGTTTTATTTTATAATTTAGAATAATTTCCAATCCATTCTCTAAATTAATATGATATTGAAATGCATGTTTTATGAATACAAAACAGTGAGATCACTGTAAAAGGTAAAATATTCATTTCAAATCTTTGCCAATATTATTATGCTTAAATTTCAAAACTTGCAGAACATGTTGCAGTGTACTGAACTCGTTTAAACTTTGTTCTCAGAGAACCTAAGTATTTCAGAATAAAAGGAATTCTGATTCTTTTCACTGCAATTCATGTGGAGCTATTATGCTTAATGTTGAAATGCGAAGGTGTATTACTTCAACTTTAATGTAGCATCATTGAAACTGTTAATAAATAGTACGCCAAACATTCATGTCACTAATATTATTGCATTACTGATAAATATTTATAATATAATTTTATGCAAAAGTGTTTAGTAGCTGATGACATAATAGTTATTTATGAAAGTAAAGTATTTTAGTTTGATAACCAACTGTACATATTTCCCCTTATGATGAAGTGATCCTCGACGGTAATGAAAAGATTAAAAACAACAACAAAGAATCTATATTAATAAATTACATTTCATACAGGTGTCTTACTTATCTTTCATGCAGGTAAACTGTGACAGTGTTTTGTAAACAAGCCTATAGAAAATTTTAAGCTATTAATAAATAAACAGATTTGCTTTTTGTTCGTAGCTTAAATTTCTGAAACTTTCCTAGAGCATTTAAACAGCGCCCTTTAGATGCATTCCTAGCTTATGATAATAACCAGAAATATTCGGATGTTCATGTATACTCTAATACAAGTCTGGACGACTATGGAATTTTGCTGGAATATTTTTGCAGTCTTTCTGAAATATACCAGCTATATTCCTGTGCTATGTGGGATATCGCATCTAAATTTCAAAGTGCAAATTTAATATCAATGCACACATATGCAAGGACTGACGTTAAATAATAAGGATTAAAGCATCACAAGAGCATTAACCAGGATATTTAACTCACAATTGGCATTTCAGGAACACCAGAGAGTCGACATAAATCCAAGAGGAAGGATTAACAAAATGGTCGTAAACCGTTGCCATGAAAATGTTACTAGAGGTATGAGATTAAACCATCAGCTGTGCGCAAGAAAGTCAATATTCTCACAAAGCAGAGGGATGGAAGAAAGTATTTTCCAACAAAGGCAAATTTGATCAGAAAATACTTTTTCCAACTAAAATTTAAAACCCTTTGACCGGATTGCGCCCTGATAAAGCCCAAATTTCCGAAAATTGCCACGAGTAGCAGGTATTTTCTTGATTTTAATGTTAAAATGCCCTTGGTACTTTATACCTGGATTTATGTAATTTTAACACACTGCCTTAATTTCTTGGACATATTTCATGATGTGCGTATATATACGTTATTACAGATATCACGAAAATAATATAGGCCGTATACATACGGCATTACCGTTCAGCTGGTTAAGAACCAATACTATATGTCTTCGCATTTAAGCCATCTCAGAAATTTTCATTTGAAAAGAGAAAACGTTATTTTGAGACAGTGAATGATTTCATTAAAATCCGGGATGTCTGCAACCTCAGATTAACCGCAAAAGAATTCAGTAAATCGCCTAACCAGTATAGAGGTTAGCTTCGCTGTCTGGCGTGCCGAAGGGCCTAGGTTCGAATCTCGGAGAAGGCATGGATGTTTGTAAATGTATAGTTACCTATGTTACTTTGTAAATGTATAGTTACTTATGACCACTGCCAGGCAAGTGGTTATAAGTAACAACAACAACAGAATTTAGTATATAATTGTTAAAATGCGGTCATTTCATAAGCTTTATTTATGCTTGAAACCAGAAAGATATAACTTTAGCATTTGTTAATCAAATGACTTGGACTTTAAGAGTTATAGTTAAAGTGAATCTTGATGATCTGGCATACGGCTTCGAAAATATTCTCCAGCTTGGAATATGTTTTTTAACTACTACTACATTTTTCAAGTGTAAATTATCGTCTGCTACTTGACAATTTTGTTTTCATACAAAATGGCGCTTTTAAAGAAGCAATGGATGGGAGGCGATGTTTGTGCTCTTTTCAAAGAAAATAATCGTATTTAGTTATTAAAAGAAGCTGTGACAGCTTTGAGTTTTCGTTATTTAAAGCTGATTAATTTAATATTTTCGGTATCTAAGTATAAGATAAATAATATTTTCAATAAACAAGGAAACGATACACCAAAATTTGGCTTCAATGAGAAAAAATTGCTCAAATACATATTCAAGATAAACTCGGAATTTTTCGAATGATGCAAATATAAGAACTTTAAAGTTAAAAGAAAATCTTCGACGTCAAATGACTTGCATAATCATTATCAATTCGACGTCAAATGACTTGCTCAGTATCAACTGTAAACATAAAGATTAATGCTGATTGGAATCTTTAAAAGGTGAAAAAATGTAATGTGCATCGCCTTTCTCCACAATATATTGCCGAAAGCAGAACGCGCTGCAGAATTCTCTATGAAAAGCAATTATTCGGGATAAAATGGAAACATGTTGTCACAATAAATTAGTCTTGCATATATTTAAATGGTCGCAACGAAATAAATCTATTTATTGTCATCAAAGAGAAGAAAAAAAATCTTAGAACATGGTTCAAAGAATCTAAAGTTTTCAAAGGGATTTGAATGGATTTGATGGAGTGATAAAAATGGCCATCTTTTTGGAGGGGTAGGGGGACAATAAAAGAACGCTATTACGTAGTCTAAAATAAGAGAAAAAAATTAAACATGTTGCACCCTATAAATAATACAGAAAATACACTGTTTTCAAATGTTTATAATTTAAAAATGGTCAATATTTTAGATGAAAAAAAAACTGACTTGTACATCACATGACTTCCTTGTACGGAATATTAAATTATACGCATTTTTTCTTGCATTTCATTTAAACGTATTGGATTGAATTAAATCTACTTCGTCGATAGCGCATAAACCACAATAGAATAAATGCACTCTTTAAAATTCACTATATTTGTTTACCATAGCGACACACTGGCACTAGGCTCACGTAGCAGCGGTACATTTTATTCATCTTATAACTCAGAATGCAAAAAATTCATATCATCTGAAGAATTATTTAATCGTTGCCATATATTCTCTTCAAATACTATAAAAAATCTAAAATGATGTATAAAAGAACTTAAACAAACAAACAAACAAACAAAAAAGAAACAGTTTTTCAGACAGACGATTTAGTATTTCTCATTCAATTAATTCAGTTCTGACTTCGCGACAAAGCGAAAATACATAAAAACTCAAGATATCTATATTAAAAATTACGAAGTAAACCTTAAACACATATTTCCTCGAATAAATTCCAGAATGGATTGAACATGATTTAATTCACAATAAAGTGCGTTATCCTTGTTGTTCCGAAGCTTACTTTCTCTGGATTGGTAACATATGCACTATTCTGCTAAGTTTCAAATGTAAACAAACATGGACGCCATGGTAAAAATAATTCGGTTTAGATGCACTTGAAAAACTTTTAAATTGTTGATAATTCTACAAATATTGCATGCAGATTTACTAAAGGCACAAAAACCTTAAGATAAGAACAGAAAAATTAAATCATTTTTAAAGCAAAAAAAAAAAAAAAAAAAAAGCACAATTTACAAACATATAAGAATAGGGAAACTGAGATCACTGAGCCGAGTAACAGAGTGGACACATGTATACATATATTTATATATTTTTGGTGCAGCTGATTGCAACCAAAATGGGATGTGCACATCTACATGTTATAGCAGTCCTATATACAAAATTCCAACTTTCTGAGGCTATTCGCTTTTGAGTTAAGCGAGATTCATACATACCTACGTACGTACGTACAGACACTATGAAAAAAGTTTTTCTGAATCCATTTTAAATCGGTTTTATAATCCGTTTGGGGAAAAAGAGTCTTCTAATCTGTGATTACGTACAGATGTTACGCAAAAAATATCGTTAAATTGCATTCGATAGCGGTCAAAATGGATATTTTCGTTGAAATATGATACCCGAAATTTTTCAAGATTACAATACTTCCTTTTTGCTTCCTTGTACGAAGTAAAGAACTTTTATTCTATTGTGGTTTATGCGCTATCGGCAAAGTAGATTTAGTTCAAAATTCGTTAATTGTTAATTGTGTTTAAATGAAATGCAGGAAAATTGCGTATAATTTAATATTCCGTGCAAAGAAGCCATGTGGTGTACACATCAGATTTTTACTTCGTACGAGGAAGTAATAAATCGATGATATCACATGCACAAATTCATTATCAAAACAATTCTGAAAATCAAACACGTTTACGTTAAAAATTCCATCGATAAAGTTTGAGAATCTGGCAACTAATCTTTCAATTCTTTGATTTGACCGAGTTCGCCATTTTTACAGGGAATTATTCTTGCTCTTATGTAAATTTTTTTCAGTCCGTATCTCAGATCTACCCTCAAAATCTCTCTTCACAGGGCTTTGGTAGGCAATATTTTTGATTCTGTATAATTTTTCATTTTTGTTTTCCAAAAATTCAATTTGTAAGTTATTTTATAAATTTTTTAGAATTATCTTTATTTTCATGAACACTGTCATTTTTATTCATAACTTCTAAGCAATTTTCATTAAAAATATGTACCATAATTTTACGAAAATGATAAAAATAATGACGACGATCATTTCACTTATCTTGCCTATTTAAAATATCATTGGAAATTTTAAAAATATTACAGAATTTTCCTGTTAAAATATAAGTTGGAGATAGTTATAACGATGAAAATGGTTATGCTTTCAAAACACAATAATATGTTTTTACTATAAGAGATATGTGAAATATTAATGGAATGTAATATTTAGTTAAACTGAATACATACATTTTTATGATGTTAGTTTATTTAAAGATAGATAAACTGGCATTTTTTCTCCCCCTCTCCTTTCTTTTTATGTATATTTACTAATATTTTTATTACATGCACATGATAGTTGCACTTAAAATAGCTTCGAATATACATACTACGTGTTACTACAACCGCCTTAGTAGAACTCTCCAAATTTTCAGAATGTTTCAAACTATTGTAAACCATGTGCATAAACCGTTCTTCAAGCAACCATGCTCATAAAATCCTTCAGTCACGCAATGCCGCCATTTTGCATGCATTCTTTTCTTTGTATTTCAAGTACTGTATTTCGGTTTTTTGTGATATCATGATATTTGATGTCGTGATTTTCATACCTAACAATTTAAGGCAACCTGATTGCATTATTATGATTGCCTAAATTTAAGGCAACCTGATTGCCTAAATTTAAGGCAACTTGATTCCCTTATTATGATTTTTAAATTTAAGGCAACCTGATTGCCTTAAATTTAATTTTATGAGCTTCTGTAATTTTCTAGTAATGGAAAGAATTGCGGTAAAATTTCTGAAGGTATATAGAATTCTGCCACGAAATCTTGAAAAGAAACAGCAGGGAGATGCTTTTGGTAGATAGCTGGTGTTGTTGACGTTTACACGATGTCGAATCTCTGCAATTCTCTGATATTTTTAAAACAAGAAAATATCTCTGTGTATTTGTAGAGAAGAATATCGGAGAAAAAAATACGGAAATATTTGGTGAAGAATGTAAACGTTTTATTTTTTAATGTATCACGTAATCCTTATTTAATAATTAATATTTGCATTTTAAATTACAAAAGTATGTTTTCTTTTTATATGCTGATAATGTTTGCCGACTTATGATAAATACCGATAGTTTGGGAATCTTTCTAAAAAAATCCTGGAAAAACACCAGCTTGCACTGGATAGATAATTTTTACATTTTCATCTGTAAAAAATCACCAAATTACATCAGGCTGGTTGCGTTAATACGTAAGTAGCTCTTGGTAAAAGTATTATATATTTTATTCAAAAATCAGCAATGGCAAATGTAAATAATTTTTATGTAGTTTTGAGAAACCCGTTATGTTATTTTAATGTGGAAGAAATTTCTTCAGCTCACGCTGATAAAGCAAAGGACATTGCAAAATCTTCCGAAACATCGACAGAAAAAAGACTCTGAAGACACGTTAGGAAAGGTAAATTCTGCTTTAGAACCATTAGCTAATAGCAATGACGATTATTTGAAAAATTGCAATGAATTTCAAAATTATTTCTTTAGTAATTGTTGCATTTTTTACCTAAATTTCTATCATAAAAGCACAGTGACCATATTTGATTAGCTAATTTCTTTCTGTTACTACTCAAGTTTCGTAAAGTTCGCAAGAAATTCGGGTATCAGATTAAATGTTCACAGAAACTATACCAAATTATTTCTCTTTAGATTTAAGTGCCAAATTAATAATTAACAGCTTTCTCACATGATTGATAATTCTATATCACTTGTTATAATAATTAGCATATGAAAATTTGGAATGTGGTTTTATACAATGTTTTTAAAAATGAAAAGCTATGCTGCAGAGTTTTATGCCTGTGACTGAAAAGAATGTGTGATATTTGACCTGTATAAAAGTCATTTAAAAGAATTATAAGAGTGGAGAAATAGTTTTAGACTAGAAACAAAGGAATTCGATGCATTTGCTTAGATTTTGGTGCTGATTCATTTGATGTCTCTCAATTCTAACACATATCAAATAATTTTTTACTACTAACGCAACATAAGTGTCCCACTAAAAGTTTAAAAATTACTGCTGGGTTAAAACGTACTTGGAATCTTCTGAATGTTGGCGATCATCTTCCAATAGTTGGAAAATCAAACACCGTTATGCTCGTTGTAACCAAATGAACACAGAGAAAAGAACAAATAGGAGTTGCCCAATGTGTAATGTTGGGTTATGCAAAGAATGCCATAAGATGTAAAATTTATTTCATGTAATAAAGTTTTCCAGAATAATAAGTATGCTTATAGCAAGTCTATCGCTACGTGTGGGACATACGTATACCAACATTAAAACTATGATTCAGAAGTCAAATAACAAAAATCAGCGTTAATTCACAAAATTTTCACAGGACTAGTTTCGATGGTTTTACCGAACCATCATCTTCAGCTGCAAAACCGCAATTTGATCTGCGGTTTTGCAGCTGAAGATGATGGTTCGGTAAAACCATCGAAACTAGTCCTGTGAAAATTTTGTGAATTAACGCTGATTTTTGTTGTTTGACTTCTGAATCAGTATTTATTCGGCGTGTTATTGTGTCTTAATTATTAAAACTATGGTTGGGACACATGTGGCCCAGCCTTTGGCTTCAAAACCCGTTTGTCAAAAACATCCCAAATGCAAATTTTGCCTTATTTTTGACATATTTTGTTCACTTGAATAGAAAACTAGGTAAAAATTGTTTTTTACTTCCTTGTACGAAGTGAAAAGAAAGTATTGTAATCGCGAAAAGTTTCAGGCAGCATATTTCAACGAAAATATCCATTTTGACCGCTATTGAATGCAATTTAACGATGTTTTTGCATGATATCTGTACGTAAGGACGGAATAAAAGACTCGTTTCCTCCAAAAAAATTATAAAACTGCTTTAAAATTAATTCTGAAGAGAATTTTTCTTGGCGTCTGTACGAACGTATGTACGTACGTGCGTACGTATCTCGCATAACTCAAAAACGAGTAGCCTCAGAACGTTGAAATTTTGTATATAGGACTGCTATAACATGTAGATGTGCACCTCGTATTTGGATTGCAATTGGCCTCACCAAACGTATATAAATATATTTATAATTATATCCACTCTGTTACCCGGCTCAATGATCTCAGCTTCTTTACTCTTATATGTTTGTAAATTGTACATTTTTTGCTTTAAAAATGATTGAATTATGTTGTTTTTATCTTCCGGTTAATGTTTTTATGCCTTTAGTAAATCTGTATGCAATATTTTTAGAATTATCAACAATTTTAAAGTTGTTTAAGTGCCACTAAGCCTTTTTTATGGCGGCCATTGATTGCTTACATTTGAAACAGCAGACTAGTGGATTTGTTGCCAATCTAGAGAAACTTAGCTTCGCAACAACAAAGATAACGCCTTCATTTAATTTTGCCCATTAAATCATGCTTAATCCTTTCTGAAATTTTTTCGAGGAAATAAGTGTTTAAGATTTACTTCGTAATTTTTAATATAGATATTTTGAGTATTTATGTATTTTTGCCTTCTCGCGAAGTGAGAACTGAATTAATTGAATGAGAAATACTCAATCGTCTGTGAAAACTGTTCCTTTTTTGTTTTATTTGCTTAATTTCTTTTATACATCATTCTAGCTTTATTATAGTATTGGAATAAAACATGTGGCAACGATTAGATAATTCTATTCTTTAAATGATATAAATTTTCTGCAGTATGAGTTATGATATGAACGAACTGTTAAGTGAATACTGTTAAGTGAATCTAGCGCCAGAGTTTCGCTATGGTAAACAAACACTAGAGTGAATTTTAAAGAATGCATTTATTCTATTGTGGTTTATGAGCTGTCGGCGAAGTAGATTTAATTCAATCCAATAAGTTTAAATGAAATGCAAGAAAAAATGCGTATAATTTAATATTCCGTACAAGGAAGTCATGTGGTGTACATATCAGATTTTTTTATTCTGAAAATCACCTATTTAAAAGGTTACCAGCAAATTTAATTATCATTATCCACTATAGAATCAGTTTCTTATCCTTTTCCCTCGAGTAAGATTCATCGATTTGAAACGTGTCCTCAGACGTCAGCAACGAGACATACTCGTCGGGTTTTAATGTGGCCTCGATCGTTACACTCGAGAGTGACTTGTCGCTTCTTATTTTCCAACCCCCAGAACACGGCGAAAATTAAAAGAGGGAATTAATGGCTTAACTGCTTACGCGCTGTATAGAGCGGGATTGCATTAAGGTTCATACAAAGCATATGGACAGGAAATAAGAATGAGTTTTTACTCCCTTTCAAATGGTGTTGCAGTGGGAACTGCTGCTCATTTGTGATTGGCCTTGTTAATTTTCAAATAAGAGGAAAAAAGAGGAATAGGGAAAACAAAAGAATTTTTCTCCTGGGTAAGCTGACACTATTCAACATCCTTGAGTACAATAAGTAGGCTGTTTAAATTGATTCGGTATCTTCTAAATGGGTCTTGACAGCCTGTTAAAGGATGGGAAAAATGTTTCTGTATCTTAAACAGAGGCCACTTTCAGTAACAAAAAGTTTATGTTTGCAAGTAAGAAGGTAACAAAGGTAACAAATGTTTGAGTTCTGTAGGACAGTAAAGTGGTTAAACAAACTAATCTTAGATACATGATTAATGAACTAAAACTGAAAAACAAAATACTAACCATTGTTACATGAATAAGTTCCCATCTTCCTTAATTATAAAAATTTCTATTTCCGATTAGATTTAATTTACAAGACAAAATTCCTCCTCACCTAGATGGCAAGAAAGCGTGAGAGTTTTGAAAGAAGGAAGAGGAGTTCAGACTGATCACTACTGATCTGGACTGACAGCATCTTGGGTTTTCGGGCTTAGAAAGCAAGTAAAGACATTACATCAACAACTGAGCAACTTAATAAATGTTTTTGAAAAATTTTCTGGGCCCAATATATAAGAGATAAAAGCATTAGAAAATTACTAAAGGCACTACTATATACCTCTTGACTTAGATCTCGTAGCTGAACAACGAAAAAGACGAAAGAAGATGTCTGTGTCTGAAACTGAGGCCTTGCGATTAAGGTATGAAATTAACTGTTACTTTATGTAACATCATCTGAATATATTTAGATGATTTCTCTTAATATAGCATTTCAGATATAGGAAAAAATATATATGATTTCATAAGAAATTAATTATGTATGATATATTATATTATATATCATAAATATATGACCATTCTATTAGGTAGCTTTAGTGCTTCATTTTTAAATAAAAATATACTTTCAAAAAGGCGACAAAATTACATTTTACGCATAGAGAAAGGTCCATTAGAATGACAAATGAAACCACATTCTTTTGAATGTGGTTTCATTTGTTCATAGCTAGATTTCTGTATAGTTCTATTAAATTTAGTACTTTACTAGAATCGAATTCCATGTAAGAATTTTTAAAAACTAGACCACGTACGGCTTTTCGTTATTAAGAATTTCGGTACTTTTCCGTTTTGCCGGCGCAAACGATAAAGTCGCCAATAATGGTACAACTGATGCCAAACGGAATATCTTCGCTGGTAACCTTTTATGCCTCATTTTCAAAACAAGTCACAGCCATTTCTTACCAGATTGATTGTTTCTTTCAATACTGGCTACAATTACATAGAATATTTAAATTTTATGCCAAGACCATTCGCGGTAATTAAGTCATTTAGAATGCAATCACACCGCTCACCCGAAGGCGAAAATATAGAAGAGGCAAAATCAAGGGTTAAATTAATCACTTCTAATGAGAATGCACTAGCGAAGTAAAGCACTGCGGTTTTACATAATTTCTGAGTAAGCTATTCGTACGAATTGAAATAATTCTTTCATTTAGACTTGTATTCCAAATTAAGATTTAACTTGAAATTAATGTAGAAAATTGCTGAATTAGATTTTTGTAGCGTCGTTTACGTGAAATAAGATCATTTGGGGTCACGTGATACGAACCGGCGAATCAGGATGTTGAACCATGAAAGCTTAGTAAATTCTTAAATTAATGTCTTTTTACAGATTTATTGTCTTTATTTATTGTCGTTTTTCAAAATTTTAAACCATATTAAAATGTTTATGCCTTCAAAATAAAAAAATTCTTAGGAACATTTATTAACATTTTTTATGTGTATACTGTATGTTGTTGCCAACAAAATCTGCTTGGCGAGATTTGCGCCGGTGACCAGAATAAAAATACTAGGATTTCTGTCTTGTATAATAATGAAAAGGGTTCAGATAATTACTTTCATGTACACTAACAGTATAGCTATTCTGTGTCACAATGCTGTATTACTTCGGATACTTCAATAAGCAGAAGTAAATGTACACTGCTCAAAAAAAAAAAAAAAAAAAAAAAAAAAAAAAAAAAAAAAAAAAAAAGGGGGACTGTCCTATATCTCCCGATCTACTGGGCCGATTGACAAAATTCAAATTGCGTTCTTCATGTCTCGAAAGCGCGACTTAGGATATATATTAGATTTATATATAGCACTATTCTAACATAGGTATTTTGACACAAAATCGGACTTTTTCTGAAATAACATACCAATTTTTTTACATATTTCGATTCTACGACTCAAATTACGCCTAAATATGAAATTTTGTAAAATTTGGAGCGAAATTTACGGAGAAATTCACAAATTTATGTTGGGCACTTTTTTGTCAGTTTGCGCCAAGAATACTTCACTTGGCGAACTTCTTAATATATGGCAACCTAGTTTCCTTTCCCGTGAGAGGGAAAAAGGAAAAAAGTCACCATCGTTCCTTTTTTCCAAATAATATTCTTTATTATTATTTTTAATTATAACTTATTATTTTAAGTATTTTTTTCTTTTTCGAATTTCATTTTAATTGTTTAAGTTGCACTTTTTTTTTTTTTTTCCGAATAACTGTTTTAAAAATTTCTATTTACCTGTTCGAACTGCGTAAATAAAGGTGCAGTTTATCGTTTATTTTTTTTCAAATAGTTTTCTATATATATTTTTTTTTTTTTCGTCATAGTTATTATTTTAGGTAATTTTTAAATTTTTATACTTTTATTTTAATTGTTTGTGTTGCATTGTCTCTTCAGATAATTGTTTTAAAATTTTCTATCTATTCCTTCGAACTGAGCATTTTAAATATATTTATTAATATCAATTTTCCAGAATATGATTTTATTTATTTGAACTACGTTTCTTTCGGAAGAATAATTTGTAACCTAGACTACGATGAGTTTGAAAACTGCATACTATATTAAAAGAGAAAATACAGTAAAGCACGGTTTTACACGCCTTTCAATGTTCCGTTCAGAAAAGATATATATAAATAAGACAGATGTATAACCGACATTTTAACTTAGGATGACTTGCATACACTGCTTTAAACAGTTTTATCATTGTGCCCATTGCTTTACACAATTTTATCCTACATTTGGTTTCTTAAAATGCTATTCATATTTTAGTCAAATATTTTATTTTTGAAATCGCAAGAATCAAATATCATAACATTGAGAAGTTTTAAATTAAAAAAAAAATACAGATACTAAATTTTACGAAAAAATTTATTTTTCTTCTCTTTTTCTTTAAGCATTCTGAAAGTATATTAAAAAGTATCCAACTTTTCGAAACATTTTGGTATTTCTGACAATCATTTTAAATAAAGTTATCGCCTTTCATTTCATAAAGGCACACAAACGGCCCAGCGGTAAAGACACTGATCACTGGTAGTTCGGTCCGAGGTTCGAATCCCGCGAACGGGCTGGTTGCATGGGTGTTTTCGTGGTTTTCCCGATGTGTAACGTGTATACGAGGCCAGTTTCCCTTAGAAAGTCCTCCACGAAGGCATCCCTCCCTTTAGGCAGATAGCCCTCGTGTGCTTTGCCATAATTAAATAATCCAATCCAATCCTTAATTAAATATAATTGATTTGTAACTACTACTAGAACTGACGTTAAGAATTGAAGTGCAAATAAATAATATCGTGTGCAATCTTGATTAATATAAAATTAAAAATATTTGCATTCAGACAGAAAGTTTTTTGAAATATTTGCAATTACTTTCTAAGAAGGATTTATTAATAACCGTAATAATTACTTATTATATTACTGATGATTAGGAATAAGTTCTTGACAATTACATTCTAAATTAGAATTTTAAATTAGAATAATGAAAATACGCTACGCACAAAAATACATTTTAGGATAAAAAATGAGTCGATTTTTTTATGTTTAAAAAACTCCTTGAATTCATTTAATAAACATCGTATCCTCGTAGTTAATTGAATTCCAGAATGTTGTGGTGTCGTTTATATAATTATTCTTACTTGTCCACAGGAATCTGCCTGACTTATCCAACGATTAAGTAGCTGCAGATCATTTCTACATAAACCACTTGAACTTCCATTAATTCAGTCTCTAGAGGGTTGTATATTTATATCATAATTTGACTTTTATAAAAATGATTATTCTAAATCTTATGTTTCTATAAAAAATATACTGTGGTTTAAAAATATGGATGATAGTACCAGCCGCTCTTTCAGCCACTTCAAAAGCATCCGTTTGTTTAGAAATAAATTGTGTAGTTAATGTCATAAATTCAAATAAACATCAAACGAAAATTCTCTGTTTTAGACAATTCGATTTAAACGAAGAAGTAAAGTAGCAGACGATAAATGCCGAAGGTAAAAATTTACTCTAGAAAAATGTTACTCTTATTTTTTTTTTTAAAAAAAAAAAGGAAGAGAAGAAAGAGAGAAATTAAAAAACATTGTTAAAATTTGAATAATATCATCTATAATTTTAAAAAATAGCTTTTCATATAGTATTAATAAATATTTATTACGCATCATTGAGGGAAAAAATGTCATATAATTAATTCTCCGTAATATTTTACTTGAAATTTAAGGTTAAAAATAGCTGTGGCAATACAGTGTAACAAAAATCCATAGACCACATTTGGCGTTATTATCGCTCAAAAAAAAGATGCCAAATTTCAAAGCGCGAAAATATGTAAATTTGTGTATATCTTAGAAAATTTTGAATAAAAAAGTCTAATTTTTTGCAGATATGCTTAAAAATATACCTACTTTAAGATGATGGTAAAAAATTTTATAGGTTATAATTCAAAATTTTTTTCGAAAAATTTATAAAAAATTATTTAAAAAATAGAATTTAAAAGATAAAAACACAAAAAAATGGGTAAATTTTATTTGGAATGAACTTAAATTTCGAAATGTGAGAGAAAAAATCAAAAAAGTTTAATAAAAAAAGAGATATAAATAATATTTGCCAAATTCAATTAACATTGAGGAGCTAAAATTTTGAGAACTAATATTTCAAAAACTACTCGTACGATTTTTACAAAACTTGGTATTCTGGCATAATTTGAATCGTAGAATCGAAATATGTAAAAAAATAGTTATGTTATTTCAGAAAAAGTCCGATTTTGTGTCAAAATACCTATGTTAGAATAGTGCTATATATAAATCTAATATTTATCCTAAGTCGCGCTTTCGATACATGAAGAACGCAGTTTGAATTTCGTGAATCGCCCCAGTAGAACAGGAGATATAGCACTGTCCCATTTTTTATTTTGAGCAGTGTACAATTTGAAAAGAATGCTACTCTTCTCGATGTGACAAATTTTGGAATATCGAAATTTTTTCTACTAGCTTCAGTTTCGATTTGTCATCCATTAATTGTATTAATGAGCTCCAGTATGAATGACCATGCTTTTTGACAGCATAAACCGTGTTCGAGATGTTAGCGTCTCAAAACATTTGAAGTTTTAGTCCTGTTCTAATCTTGACGTCTTGTACAAACCGGCTTGAACAAAGCTGGCTCAATGAGGCCACTGTTTAGTGACTTTTAACTTTCTTCGAATCAGCTGGTTCAGTTAGTTGCTCCGTTGTTTACCTCACAGGTAACGTCAGTGCAGGCAAAAGTTTTTCAGAAAATCCTCCAAGAAATTATCCTTACCCGTAGGAAAATATGCATTTTATTATTTGCTCTAATAAAATAATCTCATCTTTTCCAACCTTTGTTTTATTCTAAAAGTTTGATTTCTGTCTTCGCTCATTGTATCATCTTATTTTTTAAAGAATGACAAATTTCTTTATAGTCTTCTAACTGCATCGCATTAAGTTTATCAAATCCAAACTTCATGCTTTCAGAAGCAAAGCACATGCACGTATAAATTTGTGAGAATGTACCCTTTCAGATTACAGATTAAGGCAATTACGTCAAAAGGTTGCAGTTCTAAATTTCATTAAGTAGTTTAGTTTAGTTTAGTGACGGAAGGATGGCTGAAATTTGAATGATGGTCTACAGTGGCATCGAACTATAATAGATATTTTAAGAGAAACTGGGCACCCTGCATCATAATCACTCTTAGCCAAATTGTATTCCACTACAATTAGACGTAGGAATTGAAGGGGACACCTATATACATTAATTATCAGAAGGTTTCGAGAGTAAGTAATTCTTTCTTCCCAAATACTCATATCTGTCAGTCGTAAATTTGTAATGCTAGTTGTATTCATTTGCGAGTAGTACCGTGCGTAATTGCAATGTGAGCTGGGCTTGTTGATGGCCATCAAAAATAGAATAAAGTGGTTAATTCAAAGGAAAATTTGAGCTCAGGTATATAGTGTATGAATTTATTGTATATGCCACTTTTAGAGAAAAGTGTAATTCTTAATTATATTTCATTGCTATTTTAAAGAGGATCACTGTGTTTTCATGTTAATTATTACAATATAAATAATAATACTGTTTTTGTGACTTACATTTTTGATAATAATTAGATGAATCAGTGTTATTAAATTGCTCTGGCTTGCGTTTGGAATAGGATGAGCGACTACGTAAGTATGCATTTTGGGAGTGAAATTTTGCTGATAAGTGTTTGTCCAATTGCCTTAAATTAGAACCGGAAAACAAAATTAGAGTTAAGTTATTTAAAGCATAAGGTTATATATTTCATTAAAGAACATAATATGGTAACTCTTTAGAGAAATATACGAATTGCGTAACATAATACTTCCACGTTTAATGATGTATTTTCATTTATATTTCAGTCGCCCTATTACTTATCCAACTCAAAGGCCTCCAGATTATCGCTCATTGTCCATACTGTTAAACCAGATAAATGATATGAAGAATGAGTTAAATGTCTTATCTCGAATTGTAACGAAATTAGAATGCCAGGTTCCTCTTCGAAAGAAAACTGAAATGGACAGTCTCTTTGAGAATCCTATTGGATATAGCGTAACTCTAACAACTCAGACTTCGCCTAAAAACACTTATGTCAGACAGCTCAAAGTTCCTGAATCGCAAAAGAGTTTTGGATCAAGTTATAAAATCCTGAACCATAGAGATTTAAATTTTAGACTCGAAAATAATAGCATTTCGGAAAACTTGGAGAAGCTTGACACTGGAAACAAGGAGAAACACAGTTACGAGACACTTGAAAGTTTTTCTTCGGATAGATCCCGGAACAACAATATAATTGAAGGAGAAAAGACTCTAAGTTTTCCTAGCCTAAGAAAGGATTTTGAAGGAACAAGTAAGGATAAATATGAGGGAAAAAAGGAAAGTAGCCTTTCTGATCATGAAACGCATTTCATGCCTACGTACATATCTGCTTTGAAAGTTGTCACTTCGCGTCCTCCCAACACAAAAAGAACAGTAGAATTTGGGGAAAGAAGTACTTCAAAATCGTACTTCGATTTTGCAGATTATTATTTAAAGATTTTAGATTTACATGACAAAGCAACAAAGAAACAAAAGTCTACTACTCCGATTGTTTCCACCAGTGGCTAAATAATCTTTATAGGTAATAGTAAAATGTATTTTAGATAGGCTTACAAGAGGTGATAAGAAAGTATATATTATATTATTAATACCTTTCTTTAAAGATCATTGTTGCTTTCTATGAAGGTTTTATGTTCTCGGTTTTGCAAAAGATAAAATTATACAATTACATGTAGTCAGATGACTTGAGGTAAAGTCTCTGATTCTTATACGAGTAAATAAGAATAAAATGATACTATTACATATAATGGCCTCTTTTTCATTGTGTCGAATATAACTTGCAGAGACAAGATCGTATGCCCGTTTAGAATTTTCCACAGAGTGATTTTCATTTTGCTTCTAGCAAACAACGCAATGTGACTGCGCAGTGCACAATTCCCATTCACTAATATACATTTTTAGTAATAGTGAACTCGAGTTTTATAAACCAAATGCATGGAAAATCCAAAATAATTACAAAAATATACTTAGTGAGTAAATGTTATAATGAAAATATTCATAAAGAAGCTTCGTAAAATTAAACGTCTCAATGTAGTTTACACTGAGAGCTCACATTCAAGTTTCGAAACTTTAAAATAAATGGACTTCAAGAAAAATACTCTCAGTTCTACCCTTTTGGGGTTATATACTAAGGCTGTTCACACATTTTGTAGACGACTTTCAATGTATGTATAGAAATAATTTATCTACAATTAAATGTTCCATTTCCAAAGTCCAAGGAGGCTTGTAAGTCGATGTCTGGACAATTTTCTTTTTAAAAGTTTAAAAGCACAAAATTTCGTGGATGATATATAAGGAGATTTAGTAGAGATATGAATGAAGGGTATGGTTTTCCATACACATTTCTTAATCGATTTTTCCCAGGAAATAAACTATGGGTTTTGATGTCTGTCTGCTTGCTTTGTCTTGATGCAGTTCTACTGATTAATGGTACTGTGTGTAAAAGAAGGTATTTTATGTTTGAAAATTGGGTGTGAAATATATTCCTGATAATATGTGGAGTTGACCTAAATGGTTTTCTGCACTCCCTTTGATTTTTATTTGTGATTATATCAAAAACCATCAACAATCACAAATCCCTTTGAAAAACGTTTTCTAGAATCTTTGAAACATGTTCTAAAATTTTTTTCTTCACTTTGATGATAATGGATCTCTTTTTATTGCTGTCATTTAAATACACCCAACACTTATATATTGCTACAATATTTTCCATTATTGTCCGAATAAATTCTGCTTTTGGCAATGCGTCGTGAAAAAAGACGACGCGTATTACGTTTTTTCGCCTTTTTAAGATTCAAATAAGCATTCATCCCTGTGTCTTACAATTGAGATTGAGCATTTTAATATCATAATGCATTTATCCGTTGACTTCGAAAATTTGCTTTTAACATTAAAGTTCTTACCTTTGTAACATTCGAAACATTCCATTTTATATTTGCATATGTGTTTTGAACAGTTTTTCTCCTTGAAGCCAAACTTTGCCTTTTCTCTTCTCTTATTGATAATTATCTATCGGTGCTTTAGATACCGAAGAATCATAGCTTTCACAGAATTTTTAATAACTAAATACGAATAATTTTCTTTGGAAAGAGCGTAAACCTAGCCTTCCGTCCACTCTTTCTTTGGAAGCGCCCTTTTGCATGAAAAAAAAATTTGTCAAACAGCAGACGATAATTTACACTTTAAAAATCATAGCTTTCACACTATTTTTAATAACTAAATACGAATAATTTTCTTTGGAAAGAGCGTAAACCTAGCCTTCCGTCCACTCTTTCTTTGGAAGCGCCATTTTGCATGAAAAAAAAATTTGTCAAACAGCAGACGATAATTTACACTTTAAAAATCATAGCTTTCACACTATTTTTAATAACTAAATACGAATAATTTTCTTTGGAAAGAGCGTAAACCTAGCCTTCCGTCCACTCTTTCTTTGGAAGCGCCATTTTGCATGAAAAAAAATTTGTCAAACAGCAGACGATAATTTACACTTTAAAAATCATAGCTTTCACACTATTTTTAAAACTAAATACGAATTTTTCTTGGAAAGAGCGTAAACCTAGCCTTCCGTCCACTCTTTCTTTGGGAAGCGACATTTTGCAGGAAAAAAAAATTTGTGAAACGCAGACGATAATTTACACTTTAAAAATTATAGCTGCAGTTAAAATATTTCCAAGTAAGTGACGTTTTTACACCAAAACAAAGCCGTCTAAAAATGTGCGAATGGCCCCTGTACTTAAGTATAAATATCATTATTATTTTTAATTAAATAATTAACATTAATGTTATTTTTGACAACATATAATCCTGATTATTCTTTCTTTATCATAATAATTAAAGAAGATATCTTTATTCTAATAGTCTGTTTAACAATATAAATTCTCTTGAATCTGGCAACCAGTTTCTGTTCCTGATTAAAAGTTTCCTCTTTAGAAGGCGATTGCGTTTTGTGTTTTCCACTACTTCGGGCTAACCAGATAAACTTTGACTCAAGCCAGGTAAAAATTCCGTTCTTTTTTATTATTATTATTCTCTATTATTTGTGCTTTTTAGCATCTCACTGAGGACATACTTTATATCAAAAATTTTAAAGCTTGCAAAATTTTAACCTTACCTTGACAGTGAGTTTAAATAAAATGTCGAAAAAGAGAAATTATATTTGGACAAGCATTAAAGTTGGCATGTATTTTTCGCGTTGTTTTAGGAGCTACTTTAAAGTTATACTTAAAAACAATATGTAAAAACGATTAATTTTGCAAAGTTGCTGCTAATTTATTTGAAGTATCCATCATTTGTAATCTTTGTTAACTGAATTTCAATAATTTTACACAAAATAGTTCAAAATCCAGGCCGAACGGTAAAGTCGCCAAGCATTGGTAGTTCGACCTGGATTCGATTCCAGGAAAACGGGCTGGCTGCTTGCATGTTTTCGTGGTTTTTCCAATCTGAAGCGTGTAATACGAGTCAGATTTTCTTCGAACGTCCTACCCAAGGGCATTCTTCTTAAACAGATATACCTCTTGTGCATAGCAAAGCAAAAAAAAAAAAAAAAAAAAAAAAAAAAAAAAATCTCGTGCTCTCAATCAAAAAATATTATTTCAGAATCCAGTTTCTTTTAAAATAAATAATAAACAACCCATACAGCACGTTCGTTGACTTTTAAACTCTGGTGTATTTGAGTGTTCAGCGGTCTTACCAGTACTTCGCGTGAATTTTTAAAATTTATTTTTATGAATTTACGTTTAGCTGTATAGACTTTTTCTGCATTTGCTGTACCATACAAGTATAAATAATCAATTAAATATAATGTATTGAAAATTTATGCATATTTAATACCAATTTAAAATGCAATAGTCTAGCAGTGACCAAAGTTTGTTGAATTATATCAGATTTCCAGTCATAAAAGGCTGGTTGAATCCAAGTTTCTGTGGTTTTCCACATGTGTAGAGCGACAAATAATGGCTATGAGCCGGTTAAAATAATCCTCCGTGATAGTAACTCTCCTAGTAGCCAGATAGTCTTCGCGTGTTTTATCGTAAGACAAATAAACCGCATTTTCAGATTATTTACCGTGTACGATCATGTCTCAATTTATTTGCTGCTGTATACACCCGTTTATAATTTTCCTTAATATGTCATGCATAAAAGCGTCCTTCACTTAAATCAAAAGAACTATTATGGTCTTCCATAATGGTTCATTTTATTCAATGTTATCAAGCTATTTTATAATACTACCACTTTTATATCCGAATTCATAAGTGAGGTCTACCAACTAATTTCAAAATCCTATTTTCCTAATCAAAATGTAAATATAAGATCCATGCAGAACTTTAATTTTCATGTGATTCGTAAGTTTCATTTGCTTATATTTTGAGTTTATTTGTTAGCAACATATTTCCTTTCACCCAGCAATTTTAGCACCTTTACAACAGCTAATACAAAAGGTATGTTCGTTTCGGCAGTTCGAACTAAAGAGGGAAAGAAGAAATCCAAGGTTTGAAAAATACGGGAATTCGATAACTACCGAGTATCATCTTTTGCAGATCCACATTGCCGAAACGATAAGTTTCATGTGATAATCAGTAAGCTATAATCGTGAATTAAATGTAAAGTTATCAAAGAATATATTAAACAAATTATTGCTGATTAAGATAAAATATTTACTTATTGGTGCAATCATCTCGGCGCAGTTTAGGCGATTTTTATAGACAGAAAAGGACTTATAATTGCAAAAATCATTATATACATCTATTGTTTTACTCTGAAAATCACCTATTTAAAAGGGATATTTCTTTTTCTGGTGGAAATTGCATCGCAATCGCTTTGAGAATAAACTGAAAAGAATATTTCCCATTCGCCATTTTGAAGTAAAATGCTGCATTTCTGTCGAAATCTGGCTGGCCTATTCGGTTTAGGACTATAGCTACTTTTTTTTGTGTAACTTGTTAGCATACTTGCCTACCACCATCTGAGTTGCTGTACCGCCTGTTACGACTATCAGCATTGCACTCAGTTGGTGAAGCATTCTATTGTCACTAGGCCTAAATCTCTAAAGAATATTAAAAGCCAAAAACCTATAAATTCCGCTATAAATTTTAATATTCTGTAAAGTCACTTCGTAAGATGGCTATTTGTGACCTGTATTTATGAAAGTGACCCTGACAAGACTGTGCAGAATGAGGATTTTAGAAATGTTTTATGCACTGTGATTCTGAATTTACAGAGAATATTTACACTAGACGTCTGGTAACTTCGATATAAGAAGTCATTCTGATGTAATATTCTGAACAATATCAACTGGGTATATTAATGTACCACATTTTCAGAGTTCCTGTGTAATATTTGCTTGCCACATTCGTAGTTAGTCGCCTTTGTTATTCACTTGTATATTCACTAAAGACTCTAAGAAATACAAATCGGTGTATAGAGTTGGAAATTTGTGTTAATTGAGAAACATGTGGGGTTCACTAATGTACTGTTTTATATCTGCTTGGCATTTTGTACCGGTTACTGGTACAGAACACTTGAAGATGGGACTAGAAAATATTACGTTCTTTATACCACCACTCAGCCACTTGTTGGAATACTAAAAAGATTGTACACGAAAACAGCCACGTCGTAATTGTTATGGGCATGATTGCCAGTGGTTATTGCATTCTGATAACTTGGCGACGTCTGCTAATTTGGTTATGTTTATGTATATCTTGAAATGAATAAAAGTATCAATGTAAAAAAAATATAGTTTCCAAATCAGATACAGCAACGATTTGCTTTCACGTATACATGTCTAAATGTAATCATTCAGAAATCCCTGACATAAGCAATTTAAATTTGTAGATAATTTAATTCCTTAATTCGAAATGTAAGCTGTAAATTTTTATTAAATACTGAAGTAGCGACTTCCGTAAAGCAATGAAATTATTTGGATCGATCCATAAAAAAACTGGAAACTATTCCAGCTTGAAAGTTCACGTTAACAATTGCCTGCAAAATTGGTGTAAATGAAAGACTAGAAACTTTAGAAAAATAAATGTATAAGAAATTATCGTATGTTCTCATGTGTACCGTGATAGTATAAGTTGTAATACATCTTCGGTGTCAGTCTTACGACAACGGGTCCTCATGCAAAACCTTAAAGATCAAGCATGATCTATTTATAAACGTTACCTAGGTCCGCCAGCGGCCGAGCGCGAAGTCGCTGAGCACTGGTAGTTCTGTTCGAGGTTCGAGTTCCGCGAATGGGCTGATTGGATGGGCGCTTTCGTGGTTTTCCCATGTGTAACGTATATACGAGCCAGTTTCCCTTAGAAAGGCCTCCACGAAGTCATCCCTTCGGCAGATAACCCTCGAGGTTTCGCCGTAATCACACTAACCAAACGTTACCTGGCAGGAAGTAGTTCTTTATATTCACAGTATACAATAAAAAAATGAGCAAGATATTGGGTTTCTAACGAAAAATATTTCCATCTGAAAAGGTAAATGGTGTTAAATTAGATTTCATAAATTTCTCTGAAGAATTTTAGATATTTTGAAATTTTATTCCACATGATTTTGCAGAAAATTCTGCATCGAAAATTGCCCACTAACTGCACTACAAACCCAAGCTGACAGTGTGACAGGCCCACCCACATTCGAATTCCTATCCCAACAGAATAATCTGACCGAAGGAACATTTCCATGAGTTTTATGCGTGTTGCGGAAATACGTGTTAATTTTTCTTATAAAGTTGTCTGTGAAGGAATATCGTTTCTTAAGGAGATAGTATGCTGTACTTTAACGCATTCAATTAACAATGCGTTAATAATGCTTACAGCTATTTCTCTACTGATGAAGAATAAGCAATACACGAAACATGCTCGAAAATGTTTTTTCTTTTTGCATTTTCTGAAGTTTTGTTTCTATCGTATTTATTTTTGACATGCATGTAGGCGCTCTTGGTCAAATGACAATTCTTACGAAAAAAAACTGATTAAAAAATTCAGTACAGCAATTTTCAAACGTAGTGCCCTGATGCAAAATTTTGACCTCGAAATATTTTAAAATTATATAAGACTTCTTCAAAATGATACAGTAACCTTAATAAAAACATCACTGGTATTGCTGTCTGGAATAATGCATTTTTATCACGTTTATCTCTGTATACACATTATAGGAATAACCCTTTGGGTGTACATTTATTTGAAAAACATTTTGCACTTGGAGCATATTTAACCATTTGACGTATCAGTACGTCATGCATTTGTTTGGACAAAGACGCACATGGCATTCAGATATGTCATTGAAACTGACACGAAATTTAGTTCATTCTGGTTTATTTCAAAGTAATGTGTATCTGTTGCAACATAACAAATAATTTCAGTAGTTTGGTGAATCTAGTTTGGAATACACAACCCCATAATGCAGAAATAGAGAATATATTTTATCAAAGGGACAACTGCAGTTTTAATGAAAGTTTTGATTCCAGTTACTTCAGAAAAGTTTTACATCAGGTAAATTTTTTTCCCAAATCTATTCATCCAATTTTTCACGAGAAGATTCACTATCACTGCTTGATAAGCGTTTTATACGTCTTGGAATGATTTCACTATCATTATTACTTTCTAGTTTAATATATTCATTTTAGTTTTGAAATGCCGCTTTATCGCTTAAAGGATCAATATAAAATTCATCAGATTCAAGATTACTTTCATCAAACATCCTACTACTTTCATCAAAACTGTCGTTATCACTTTGATAAAATGTATTTATTTTTGTCATTATGGGGTTGTGTATCCCAAACAAGGTTCACCAAACTACCGTTGCAACACGTACACATCACTTTGAAATAAACCAGGATGAACTAGTTAAATCTCCTCTCAGTGTTGTGTGTCTTTGCCCAAATAAATGCAGGACGTACTGATACGTCAAGTGTAGCCAAAGAGCAGATTTTATTAATTTCATTGAAGTTTTGATTAGCAAAATGTAAGGTATGTCATAAAATAATGAAAGTAAAAATGTA